AACAAAATATGCAGTATATTATATGATTTATCCATATTTTTCAACATGTCCACTACCAACCAAATGTTTAGACTCACTTTCTCATTGAATTCAATGGGAAAGTGTGAACACTTTACACTTGTTCTTCCTTAAGAATGCAAAAGTGGCCTTGGAAACTGTTTAGGGTGAAGTGAAGTAGCTTTTGATAATATACCCCCAAAATGTTAAATTTACCCTGTTTCCTCCTTTCCACAGAGACTGACTGATGTTTTCAGGCGATATGATACAGACCAGGATGGCTGGATCCAGGTTTCATATGAACAGTATCTATCCATGGTCTTCAATGTAGTATAACACATATGGATCATCACAGAAGACCACAACTGGACACAACTGTGCCAAAGCTACTGGCACCTCCTGGATGTCTGCCATGGTGGACACTTCAAGATTTTTTGAATTAAATTTTTATCCCCAGTTGGACTGTTTCACACCCATTTGTAAAGCAAATACAAGAAAGAGGACCCTTCCATTTTTGAAGCTATAGTATCCTCCACATGACATACATTATGTGTCTGAAAGTACATTCACAATGCTTGATCTGTTTTAAAAAAAGTCTTGTAGTGATTTCTTCGTTGACAAATCTGAACAGTGTCTGTGTTACGGACTCTTTGAGTTGGGGAAAATTATCGACACATCTGTCTTTCTGTCCGTTGTTGTTGACAAACTTTATAATGTCTTAATTTCAACTGATACATAAAAAAGCACCGTTGAGAATAAAATGATGCATTGTAAATATGATTTAAGGTGCAGTGCATGCTTTTCAGGGATGTTTAGCCCTACGTTGAAGCATGCGTTCTCTTTTCCGCAGCCCTGTTTTGCTCAAAAGCCATGTTTACAAAAAACTGTGAGAGCAGGTGATGTTCTGCTTTGAGATTCACTGACATGCCGGCTTATATGCCATATTTTTTACAAGCTTTTTTTATTTTTATTTTTACAGTGTTAGAATATAAAAATCTTAGGTATGGGATAAGCATAATGCCTTTAGTAGCTATAGCTTATTTTTTGTGCATGCGGCCTTAAAATGTGTAAGAACAGCACAAAAATCTTTATTAAAACATATATATATATAAAATCTGACGCGCGTGTCGGCTGTCATTTTCCGGATGAACCACATTGTATTGCAGCTGGGAAATCATGAATTTAACATTGCTAAATGTCGCCCTCAGGTGTATGTTGGTTTATACCACTGCAGTGCACCAATGTGTACCTCGGAACCTTGTGTCTGGTCTTTGTATCTGCACGGAGAGATTAAAGTGGTGCTCCTTGATATAGTGGTGTTGACTTCAGGTAGCCTAACAGTTACTTCGTAAGAGTTACTTTTTACAAATGCTAGCCTTTGTTTTGACATTTGTGAATATTATTTTTAAACGCTGGGACCTAATTGGTCGGAGAGTTTATAATTGCTAGTTTTTTTATGTGACAGCAATGTCACTGAATCCTTTCCGGTCGTTGAGAGCACCTTTAGGAACTATCTATCAAAGTAAGCTATGTGGACCGTCGATAAAAGCGAGTTTGTTGCCAGTAAAGTCCTACAGCTCTGTAACGAGAGGTGGAGAAACGGGAGCAGGTATGTGTGGAAACACGCAGTAATCTAATGTCATGAGTAGGAGGCAGCAGAGACCGCATTAATGTTAGCACAGGTGTTCCACGTCGGGACTAGCTACATTGTAATAGTTTCAATTAATGTGTATCGTAATTTAGAGTCAACATAGAGCAGTATAATCGGCATTC